TATACTTTATTGATAAATTGATGCTTCTATCATTATAAAATACCTGTTTAGCTCTCATAAGATTCTATTTTTTCTGAGATTAGCATGACCACTCCAGCTTTCTTGTAGCTGCTGACTGCATAATATAGTGCTTTCTTTTCTTTTCTTTCTTCCTTTCTTTTTTTCTTTTTTTTGAGACAGGGTTTTACTCCTGTTACCCAGGCTGGAGTGCAGTGACATGATCTTGGCTCACTGCAATCTCCACCTCCCAGGCTCAGGCAATTCTCCTACCTCAGTCTCTTGAGTAGCTGGGACTATAATAGGTGCATGCCACCCGCTCAGCTAATTTTTGTATTTTTAGGAGAGATCAGGTTTCACCATGTTGGCTAGGCTGGTCTTGAACTCCTGAGCTCAAGTGATCTGCCCACCTCAGCTAGAACTACAGGCATGAGCCAACTCCTATAGACAGCACACAGTTGGACTGTATTCTTTATTAACCATAACTGCAGCTTTGCCTTTTTTTTAAAATTTGAGATGGAGTTTCACCCTTATTGCCCAGGCTGGAGTGCAATGGTGCAATCTTGGCTCACTGCAATCTCTGCTTCCCAGGTTCAAGTTATTCTTCTGCCTCAGCCTCCCGAGTAGCTGGAAATACAGGTGTGCACCACCACACCTGGCTAATTTTGCATTTTTAGTAGAGATGAGGTTTCACCATGTTGGCCAGGCTGGTCTCAAACTACTGACCTCAGGTGATCCACCTGCCTCGGCCTCCCAGAGTGCTAGGATTAGAGCTGTTAAGTCACCACACCTGGCCTGCAACTCTGCTTTTTTTTTTTTTTTATTTGATTGTTGAATCCATTCACATTCAATGCTATTATTTATATAGTGGAATTTATATCTGCCATTTTACTTTATGTTTTCTAAATGTCTCATATCTTTGTTGTTCCTCTATTCTTTCTTTTCTGCTTTATTTTGCATTAAGTGAATACTTTCTAATAGAGCATTTTAATTTTTTTTCATGATTTTCTTGAAGTTATTCCTCAGTGGAGCACAACTCTGCCCCCACAGTCTGATTCGATTAAATTCAGGCCCATCTGAATTTTTTAGACCAATCTGTGATGTCTGTTATAACACCAAGAGGACACTTTTCACCTTCATTTTCCTCTGGCTCTCCCTTATAAGTTAACTGGCCTATGGTTTAGCTTGCTGTTCTCATGAAGCTGCAAGCCTCCTCTTAATTAAGAAACACACCTGCATGAAATTTAGGCTCTGCAACACATAGCTAGCTAGTAGCAATGAGAAATTCTGATGGCTTGCGCCTCCCAAGGAGATATCATATTCCTCAACTGGGAGCTGGATAGAGAGGAATCCCTGTGTTCTTCAATGAACTACCTGAAGGTGAATTTTATCACACTGAACTGGAGAGGGAAAGGAGGGAAGCTGTGGTTCAAATGTCACAGATTCTCTTGTTACAACTCTTATTATCAAATTGTAGTAGATTTTCCTCAGTAAACATTATTTCATTTCCCTATGTCCTTAGAACAATTTCCAAAGTATTTAGATAGTTATTTTAAAAACAATTTTCACAAGTTATGCTTGTTTCACTGGGGAGTAATTCCACAGGACTACTTATGCCGCCATTTTGGAAGCTGCTACCTTGCTGTGCTCTTTTTCTGCTTTAGTTGCTAAGCTGCTAGAATTTAGATTTCAAGCTGCTTCAAGCAATCGTTATGCTTGTGGAGTAGACTTGCAAGTGACTGAGAGAGAGAGAGACACAGAGTCCTGATGACATTATGTGAGCCTCCGGATCTAGCTGCACTTAGAATCAGCCCTGCTGTCTGGACTTTGCAGCTGGATAAGTCAATAAATTAATTTCCTTCTTTGCTAGTTGGAGCTGAGTTTCTCTCACACATAACCAAGAGTTGTAGCTAATATCCTGAATGTCAAACTTTTAATGCTGTGTAAGTAAATGATAAGTACTGTGGAAAGCTTATTCGACAAAACTGGTGTCTCGGGTCATTTTATGTAATCATTTTGGTAGCTAATCTCATCCAAATAATTTATGGCCTCTCGGTGCTTGATGAAATGTATAAACATCATTTATGGTGATTCTAATTGATGTTCCCCTTAATAAGGATTTTTAATATATTCCTATATGTCTGTCAACATTCGTTAATATCCAAAGGGTTTGTTCCAAGGATGTCTCAATGTTAATTGCAAATACTAAGATGTAATTTTAATAATAATATAGAGGTCTGACCTTAATTATAAAAAGTTCTAAAAAGTATGATAAGTCTCCCTTTTCCATTAGGCTATGGCTAACTCATGAAGGTATCACTGGTAAGCATACAGATTTCAAAACACTGGGAACTGTTACAGGCCTCTTTAACAAGACATAAGTGAAAAAGAGATTATATGTTGTTGTTTTCAATATAATATCTAAAAGCTAGGTAATCTAAGATTTTACCTGGTAAAATCTTTATTTGACATGGTGCTCATTTGAAATATTAGGAGTGGGACCAAGTTTCTTGGAAACAGAGAGTCAGAAAACTTTCAGAATACATTTACAGGTTAAAGCTATAACTAATTTGGCCAGTTATGGTGGCTCACATCTGTAATCCCAACACTTTAGGAGGCCAAGGAAGGAGGATCACTTGAGCTCGGGAGTTCAAGACCAGCCCGGGCAACATGGTGAGACTCATATCTCCACAAAAAATTTTAAAAATTAGCTGGGCATGGTGATGTGTACCTGTAATCTCAGCTACTCAGGATGCTAAGATGGGAGGATCACTTGAGAGGTCGACGCTGCAGTCAACCATGTTTGCACCACTGCACTCTAGCCTGTGCAACAGATTGAGACCCTTTCTAACTCCTTCCTTAAATATGGATATCTATGGTGAATGTTTGGAGCAAAAAAGACATCAGACATTATTATAACCTTGGAGCTTATTAAAACTTGGTAAAAACAAAAACATTTCTCCCTGGGTAAGGTATGAATAGAACTTTACCCTATGTCAAATTACCATATTGGGTATCACTTACTGATAATGCCTCTGCAATCCAGTGATTCTGCAATCCACTGGTTCTGTAATCCAGTCTGATCTCTGTCATGTTTTATGTATCTCTAGGATTCCCATAGGACCACAGTTATGGAGGAGAGAAGTCTTCAAAATTAAGAGGCACAGCGTGTAGCAAAATGTACAGATCTATTATAAAATCTCACTGCTTCCAATTAACTGGGGGAAAGGTGATGTGAATTCATACAACTTGATTACACTTACTGATGTAAAGGCTTTCTGGTCTTTACTAAGAAAAAAAGAGAAAAGTATTCCAGGATCAATTTTAATGAACAAATTTGATTTATTTGTAATTGGCATATTGTTTTAACTATCTTCAGCTTCTGAATTACCTGAAATAAATACTCATTTTAGAACGCTTAATCAAACCATCTGCAGTTTAGTTTGCATTAATAATGGTCCCCCTCCACAGGACCATCACTCACAGAAGTAGAGGAGTACATGTCCACTGATTTCTAGGAGTTCATAAATTTAGAATTGGTGGGATCTGAATCAAACTAATTGTACTTAAGACTCTAATAGGCTAGAGTTGCAAAGACTTACGCTCTGGTATTATTCAGATAGTAAAATCTTAGTTGAGAAAGGGTCTCTTCTGCAGTTTTGGGTAGATGACAGCCTCTCGGAAAATGGGTGGGACCATGGTCCTCAGTCAACTGCCTACCTGCTAGATTGTTTGGACTTTAGAATCTCCATTTTCTCTGTGCTGTTGAGGCAGCACAGCTGATATGGTTTCATACAGATGAATTCCAAGGAATACACGACCTAGACTTTATTTCAAATTACCCTCAAGATCAATATATATCACTGATGCACAAAAATGCCATGTTCATAATCTGCTGCTATGATATACAACTGGGAAAAGGTAAATGTCCTGTTAACCACAATCTCTCCATTATTTTTAAAGAGGGCTAGTTTCCATTATCAGAAGCAGATAAGGAATGCCAGCACCCATTTGTTATTTGAAACCAAGCACTTACTTAGCTGGGAAAGAATTAAAGCCATTAGGTGGTGAATTTGTTTTCTTAATAATGGTAATAACGTCACAATTCAAGGTCAAGAAAAATTCAAATGTAGTTCCATTGGGTTGCTAATAGTTTGGATAGAATGGGAAGACGATTTCCCAACATTACGTTTAGTTTTCTAACGTTTTGCAAAAAATGGAGACAAGAAACAGAAACCTAGAAGAACACCATCAAGGGGGGGCTCAAGATGGTGCGGCGAGAACAACCCAGGATTGAAGCTCTCAGTGAATGCGCGGAGAGGGTGAGTCAGGGCCGCATTTCCAGAAGGATCTTTGTTGCCCACAGAATGGGGAAATTTCCAGGTATAAAAGAGATGCGGGACACCAGGCAGAGGTTTAGGCTGGTGCAGCTGGCAGCCGATGCGGCCGGCAGCCGGCGCTGTAGCACAGCAGCGCTACACAGCGCTCCGCACAAAGCGCTCTGGTCCGGGTGCCCTGTTGAACCGGCAATCTGAGACTTGAGAGGGCTGAACTTGAGACTGAATGGGACTTGGACAGTGAGCCAGCCCAGGAGATTCCAGGGAAACAGCGTTTGGGGTAGCGCAGTGGGACAAACAAAATGGCGATTCCAAATGCTCTGGGTGGAGAGGTTCCCTGAGGGCACAGCTGAACCCAGGATGGTGCAGCTCCGTGGGGGAGGGGCGTCCGCCATTACCGAGGCAATCCGCCCCTACTGAGGTACATGCCCATTGCTGACTACAACAGAGAGACTCCGCCGCAGGGCATAGCCCGTGGCAGCAGGGCGGAGACCGCAGCAGCAGGGCAGAGCCTGCAGCAACAGGTCGAACCTCACACCAGCAGGGCGGAGCCTCAGCAGGCAAATAGTGACTAGACTGCCTCCTAGCTGGGCAGGACAGCACAACGAACACTCACAAAGAAAGCCCCAACCCCTCCGAGACAGAGCATCTGAGAAAAAAAAGGGATTTTTTTTTTTGGAGGGGAGAGTTCAGACTTTATTAGATACCTTAAGGCTGGCCCTGGGGAAAAGAGTGGCTGGCTTCGCTATCCTCCTAATAGAAAGAAGCAGTGAGGAGGGCAGTAGTCTGGGGATGGTGAGACCTCCGATTGAGGGGCCTGCACCCAGCCCCTCAGATCCTCCTTCCCTCCCATGTCACTCCAGCTCTTTTGGGATGATCACATGGTGAGAATCTGCTTTGAAGACACAAAGGGCTTCATGGAGGCTTCCAAGGCATGCTGGTAGTCCTGCAGCGGGACCTGGGAGCAGGCAGGGCTGTGAGCTGGCCTTGGCGGATGAGATCGCACAGTGTGAGGATCAGCTCCTTGAACTGGTCTGGACTGTGATCCTTCTTCCACTGGGACAACCAAAAGCCCCGAAGTTTGAGATCCTTAAAAATGAGCAGGCTCACAGAGGCTATGATGGGCTGCTTGGCCATTCCCCCATAGGTTACCATGGTTCCTCCACGCGCTAACTGCCGCAGCAGCTCTGTGGAGCTTTTCCCACCAACACAGTTGAGAGCAAGGTGTGGCTGGGGCATGTCCTTAAACAAGTTTTTTATTTCGGGCCTTCTTAGCTCCTCTTCTGTGATGACATGCTTGGCCCCCAGACTCTTCAGTCTGTCAGTCAGCTTCTGGATATCAGGTCTGTCTTGGACCACACTGATCGTTCTCAGGCCCAGGGCTGCCGCGATCTGGATGACCGCTTGGCCCACTCCACTGTTGGATGCATTCTGGATGACAGAATCCCCTGGCTGCAGCTGCTCAAAGTCCATCAACATCCTGTAGGCTGTGCAGGGATTGACACCCAGGGTGGCAGCGCTCTCAAGAGGGATGTCACTTGGAACTTGGATCAGTGCTTCCTCACTGAACATGGCCTCAGTCCGCCAGGTTCCCAAACCAGCATTTGCAGGAATCACCCAGTCTCCTGGCTTGAGCCTCGTCACACTGCTGCCCACTGCTAACACCTGGGCAACACCTTCATTCCCTCCAACAGCAGGCAGTTCGGGAAGGAGGCTGTAGTTTCCTTGGATCATATTTATGTCAGATGGATTGATAGGGGCCGCCAGCATCTTCATGAGGACGTCTGATCCTCCCACAGCAGCTAGCTCCAGGTTCTTCAGTTCGACGACCTTGGCGGGATCCCCGTGGTGCCCATAGACAAGTGCCGGGACCCGGGCAGGCTCGGTGGATGAGGAGTAGTAGGAGGCGGCAGGTCCGTGACAGCCAGAAGCAGGGAGCAGCCTCCGCCACAGCCAGGCGAGGGTTCGCACCCGCCACAGCGTGCTGCAGACCCACATGCTCCCTTCAACCAACACAGATCATAAAAGGGTTTTTTTTTTTATGAGTTCTGTTGCAGCAGAATTAAACGTAGCAGCCTAACAGCCCTGAATGAACAACAGAGCTCACAGCTCAGCACTTGAGCTCCTATAAAGTACAGACTGTCTCCTCAAGCAGCTCCCTGACCCCTCTATATCCAAAAGACTGACATTTGGCAGGCATCATTCTGGGACAAAGATAGCAGAAAAAGAAAGTGGTAACATCCCTCACTGTTCCGCAGCTGCTATAGGTGCACCCCAGACAAGCAGGGCCTGGAGTGGACCTCAGCAGTCATACAGTGGACGAGCTAGACTGGTAGAAGGAAAACCAAGTAACAGAAATACTTCATCATCAACAATCTGGGCGTCCACTCAGAGACCCAATCGAAAAGTCAGCAACTACACAGACGACAGGTGGATAAATCCACAAAGATGGAAAGAAACCAGCGCAAAAAGGAGGAAAACACCCAAAACCAGAACACCTCGCCTCCTAGAAAGGACCAAAACTCCTCACCAGCAAGGGAACAAAGCTGGACGGAGAATGACTGTGACGAAATGACGGAATGAGACTTCAGAAGATGGATAATGAGAAACTTTTGTGAGCTAAAAGAACATGTTTTAAATTAATGCAAAGAAAGTAAGAACCTTGAAAAAAGATTTGAAAAAAGATTCGAGGAAATGATAACAAGAATGGATAACTTAGAGAGTAATATGAATGAATTAAAGGAGCTGAAAAACACAATACGAGAACTTTGCGAAGCATGCACAAGTTTCAACAGCTGAATTGACCAAGCAGAAGAAAGAATATCAGAAGTCGAAGATCAACTCAATGAAATAAAACGAGAAACCAAGATCAGAGAAAAAAGCACAAAAAGGAATGAACAAAGTCTCCAAGAAATGTGGGACTATGTGAAGAGACCTAACCTACGTTTGATAGGTGTACCTGAATGTGACGAAGAGAATGAATCCAAGCTGGAAAATACTCTTCAGGACATTATCCAGGAAAATTTCCCCCACCTAGCAAGACAGGCCAACACTCAAATGCAGGAAATACAGAGAACACCACAAAGATATTCCGCAAGAAGAGCAACCCCAAGGCACATAATCGTCAGATTCACCAGGGTTGAAATGAAGGAGAAAATACTAAGGGCAGCCAGAGAGAAAGGTCGGGTCACCCACAAAGGGAAGCCCATCAGACTCACAGCAGATCTCTCGGCAGAAACACTACAAGCCAGAAGAGAGTGGGGGCCAATATTCAACATCCTTAAAGAAAAGAACTTTCAACACAGAATTTCATTTCCAGCCAAACTGAGCTTCATAAGTGAAGGAAACATAAAATCCTTTGTGAACAAGCAAGTACTCAGAGATTTTGTCACCACCAGGCCTGCTTTACAAGAGCGCCTGAAAGAGGCACTACACATAGAAAGGAACAACCAGTACCAGCCATTCCCAAAATCACACTAAATGCTAAAGAGCATCAACATAATGAAGAATCTACAACAACTAATGGGAAAAACAGCCAGCTAGCATCAAAATGGCAGTATCAAATTCACACATAACAATATTAACCCTAAATGTAAATGGACTAAATGCACCAATCAAAAGACACAGACTGGCAAATTGGATAAAAATCCAAAACCCATTGGTGTGCTGTATCCAGGAAACCCATCTTACATGCAAGGATACACAAAGGCTCAAAATAAACGGATGGAGGAAGATTTACCAAGCAAATGGAGAGCAAAAAAAGTAGGAGTTGCAATTCTCATCTCTGATAAAATAGACTTTAAAGCAACAAAGATCAAAAGAGACAAAGAAGGCCATTACATAATGGTAAAAGGATCGATACAACAAGAAGAGCTAACGATCCTAAACATATATGGACCCAATACAGGAGCACCCAGATACATAAGGCAAGTTCCTAATGACTTACAAAAAGACTTAGACTCCCACACAATAATAGTGGGAGACTTTGACACTCCACTGTCAATATTAGACAGATCAACCAGACAGAAAATCAACAAGGATATCCAGGGCTTGAACTCAGACCTGGAGCAAGCAAACCTGATAGACATTTACAGAACTCTCCACCCCAAATCCACAGAATATACATTCTTCTCAGCACCACATCACACCTACTCTCAAATTGACCACATAATTGGAAGTAAAGCACTCCTCAGCAAATGCAAAACAACTGAAATCATAACAAACAGTCTCTCAGACCATAGTGTAGTCAAGTTAGAACTCAGAATTCAGAAACCAACCCAGAACCGCACAGCTTCATGGAAACTGAACAACTGGCTCTTGAATGTTGACTGGATAAACAATGAAATGAAGGCAGAAATAAAGAAGTTCTTCGAAACCAATGAGAATGACGACACAACATGCTAGAATCTCTGGGACACATTTAAAGCAGTCTCTAGAGGAAAATATATAGCAATAAGTGCCCATATGAGGAGAATGGAGAGATCCAAAATGACATCCTATCATCAAAATTGAAAGAGCTAGAGGAGCAAGATCAAAAAAACTCAAAACCCAGCAGAAGACAAGAAATAACTAAGATCAGAGCAGAACTGAAGGAGATAGAGACACGAAAAACCCTTCAAAAAGTCAATAAATCCAAGAGCTGGTTTTTTGAAAAGATCAACAAAATAGACCACTAGCCAGATTGATTAAAAAGAAAAGAGAGAACAACCAAATAGATGCAATAAAAAATGATAAAGGGGAAATCACCACAGATCCCACAGAAATTCAAACCATCATCAGAGAATATTACAAACAACTCTGTGCACATAAACTAGTAAACCTGGAAGAAATGGATAAATTCCTGGACTCCTATGTCCTTCCAAGTCTAAACCAGGAGGAAGCTGAAACTATAAATAGACCAATAACAAGGTCAGAAGTCGAGGCAGCAAGAGCCTACCACACAAAAAAAGCCCAGGTCCAGATGGGTCCACAGCCGAATTCTACCAGACAAACAAAGAGGAGCTGGTACCATTCCTTCTGAAACTATTCCAAATAATCCAAAATGAGGGAATCCTTCCCAAATCATTTTATGAAACCAATATCATCCTGATACCAAAACCCGGCAGAGACCCAACAAGAAAAGAAAACTTCAGGCCAATATCCATGATGAACATAGATGCAAAAATCTTCAATAAAATATTGGCAAGCCGATTGCAACAGCAAATCAAAAAACTTATCCATCATGATCAAGTAGGATTCATCCCGGGGATGCAAGGCTGGTTCAACATACGCAAGTCTATCAACGTAATTCACCACATAAACAGAACCAAAAACAAAAATCACATGATTATCTCAATAGATGCAGAGAAGGCATTCGACAAAATTCAACAGCCCTTTATGCTAAAAACCCTCAATAAACTCGGTATCGATGGAACGTATCTCAAAGTAATAAAAGCTATTTATGACAAACCAACAGCCAATATCATACTGAATGGGCAAAAACTGGAAGCATTCCCTTTGAAATCCAGCACTAGACAAAGATGCCCTCTTTCACCACTCCTATTCAATATAGTACTGGAAGTTCTAGCCAGAGCAATCAGGCAAGAAAAAGAAATAAAGGGTATTCAAATAGGAAAGGTGGAAGCCAAATTGTCTCTATTTGCAGACGACATGATAGTATACCTAGAAGACCCCATCGCCTCAGCCCAAAAACTCCTGAAACTGATAAGCAACTTCAGCAAAGTCTCAGGATATAAAATCAATGTGCAAAAATCACAAGCATTCCTCTACACCAATAACAGACTTAAAGAAAGCCAAATCAAGAACGAACTGCCATTCACAATTGCTACAAAAAGAATAAAATACCTAGGAATACAACTCACAAGGAACGTAAGGGACCTCTTCAAGGAAAACTACAAACCACTGCTCAACAAAATCAGAGAGGACACAAACAGATGGAGAAACATTCCATGTTCATGGTTAGGAAGAATTAATATCGTGAAAATGGCTATACTGCCCAAAGTAATTTACAGAATCAACGCTATCCCCATCAAGCTACCATTCTTCACAGAACTGGAAAAAACCACCATGAACTTCATATGGAACCAAAAGAGAGCCCGCATAGCCAAGTCAATTCTAAGCAAAAGGAACACAGCGGGGGGCATCACACTACTGGATTTCAAACTATACTACAAGGCTACAGTAATCAAAACAGCATGGTACTGGTACCAAAACAGAGATATAGACCAATGGAACAGAACAGAGGCATCGGAGGCAACACAACATATCTACAACCATACAATCTTTGATAAACCTGACAAAAACAAGCAATGGGGAAAGGATTCCCTGTTTAACAAATGGTGTAGAGAAAACTGGCTGGCCATATGCAGAAAGCAGAAACTGGACCCCTTCCTGACACCTTACACTAAAATTAACTCCAGATGGATTAAAGACTTAAACATAAGACCTGGCACCATAAAAACCCTAGAAGCAAATCTAGGCAAAACCATCCAGGACATAGGAGTAGGCAAGGACTTCATGACCAAAACACCAAAAGCATTGGCAACAAAAGCCAAAATAGACAAATGGGACCTAATCAAACTCCACAGCTTCTGCACGGCAAAAGAAACAGTCACTAGAGTGGATCGGCAACCAACAGAATGGGAAAAAATTTTTGTAGTTTACCCATCTGACAAAGGGCTGATATCCAGAATTTACAAAGAACTCAAACAGATTTACAGGAAAAAAAACAAACAAGCCCATTCAAAATTGGGCAAAAGATATGAACAGACACTTTACGAAAGAAGACATATATGAGGCCAACAATCATATGAAAAAATGCTCATCATCACAGGTCATCAGAGAGATGCAAATCAAAACCACATTGAGATACCATCTCACGCCAGTTAGAAAGGCGATCATTAAAAAATCTGGAGACAACAGATGCTGGAGAGGATGTGGGGAAAAAGGAACACTTTTACACTGTTGGTGGAAGTGTAAATTAGTTCAACCATTGTGGAAGACAGTGTGGCAATTCCTCAAGGACTTAGAAATAGAAATTCCATTTGACCCAGCAATCCCATTACTGGGTATATATCCAAAGGACTATAAATCGTTCTACTATAAGGACACATGCACACAAATGTTCATTGCAGCACTGTTTACAATAGCAAAGACCTGGAATCAACCCAAATGCCCATTGATGATAGACTGGATTGGGAAAATGTGGCACATATATACCATGGAATATTATGCAGCAATCAGAAATAATGAGTTTGTGTCGTTTGTAGGGACATGGATGAATATGGAGAACATCATTCTCAGCAAACTGACAAAAGAACAGAAAATGAAATACCTCATATTCTCACTCATAGGCGGGTGATAAAAAATGAGAACACATGGACACAGGGAGGGGAGTACTAAACACTGGGGTCTATTGGGGGGAAAAGGGGAGGGCCTGTGGGAGGGGGAGCTGGGGAGGGATAGCCTGGGGAGAAACGCCAAATGTGGGTGAAGGGGAGAAAGGAAGCAAAACACACTGCCATGTGTGTACCTATGCAACTGTCTTGCATGTTCTGCACATGTACCCCAAAACCTAAAATGCAATAAAAAATAAAAAAAAGAAACAGAAACCTAACATTTTCTCTCACTTCAAATAGTAATTAGTTTTTACATCACCAACTTAGAGATTTTCATGTCAATTGGAGGGAGTCTTTTCCTACCCCAGTTTTTATGTGATTAATCCTATCTCAGCATAGGTATAAAGGTCTGTGACATGTGAAAAATAGATGATGTAATGAGCAAGTGAGCTTGGGCAGCTGATCACTGCTAACAATTCATTCAGGGTTTTTTCTGCTCTCAAGTCTCTGCGTAGGAAATGCTACTCCCCAGTTAGGGTTTCCAGACCAATAGATGTGAAGATTCCTTCTGCTTGAATATCCTCAGGCACCTCAAAATCAAAAACTGACCCAAATTAAACTCATTTGGCCCCTTTACCAAAACTGCTTTTCCCTGTTTTTTCCATCCCTAAATGATCCTGCCATTTATTTCTTAGGTTGAGTCATAAGAAATTACCTTTTTTGTAGGTCATTAATGGTTGAATATTGGCAATTTCAAATGGATCAACCTTAGCAGTTGTTCAGGTAAAAAAAAAAAAAAAAAAACCTGATAAAATCCTTATCATGTCACTCCCCCTTGAACTCTTAGCCAATCATGAAGGCTGGTAAATTCTGTCTCAGGCAGGGCCATTATCTATCTCTAAGGCAACCACCAAAGCCGAAGCCAAGTTGGTGAAATGACCTCACCAACCCTGTCCATGCTGCTATAAACCAGTATCTTCTTTAAAACACAAGTTGGAACATGCCACTTGCATGTAAAAAAAGTCATCCAATGGCTTCCCACTGCCCTTAAGAAAAAGACTCGGTTGGGTGGTATGGCCCACATCTGTAATTCCAGCACTGTGGGAGGTCAAGATGGGAGGCCCGCTTGAGCCCAGGAGTATGTGACCAGCCTGGGAACACAGCAAGACATCATCTCTACGAAAAAAAAATTAGCTAGGTATGGTGGCTCATACCTGTAGTCCCAGCTATTTGTGAGGTTCAGGTGGGAGGATCACTTGAGCCCTGAACTGGGAGTGCACCACTGCACTCCAGCATGGGCAACAGAGAGTGACCTTGTTTCTTTAAAAAAAAAAGACAAAGACCAGACACTTCTAGATGGCTTATAGAGGTTGCAAGCTCCCATCTCTGCTGATTGCTTTCCTCTTTTTATTTTTTGGTTACTGTGACCTACTTTTATTTTCTTAAACATGGCCCTTGCCACCTTAGGGCCTTTGTATCTATTGATCCATCTGCCTCGAACCCTCTTTTCTCATGACCTCCCAGGACCTTGTCACCTAGTAACCCTTACTTCTCCTTTATTCATGTCTCTGCATGAATGCCACTGTTGAGCAGGCATGGTGGCTCATGCCTGTATTCCTACTACTTTGGGACGCCAAGGCCAGAGGATCACTTAAGCGCAGGAGTTCAAAATCAGCCTGAGCAATATAGCAAGACCCCATCTCTACAAAAAAATATGCCACTGCCCTGCCTCAAGAGAACCTTCTATAATCTCTCTCAGACCAGGGCGGAACCCCATGTTATATACATCCATGAGACTGTCTCCTCTTAGTGCCGGTCATACTTCTAATTACTTGTTCAAGGCCCTACTATACTCAAGCTTCAAGGGAACAGGACAATGGCTGTCTTACTACCATGTTACCATCGCTGAGCCAGGGTCCAGCACCCTAATGGGCACTCAACAAATGTCTACTGAAGGCATGAATCCCTCACAAAAATTAAGGCAGCAATTGACAACTAAAAGTTGCCATCCCTGTGCAATATTATTCTCACTTTCGATATATCTTTTTTCTATTTAAGATTTTATTTTTATTACTATTTGATTTTAAAAATTTTAATTATTTATTTACTTTTTTGAAAAAGGGTCTCACTCTGTCACATAGGCTGGAGTGTGGTAATGCAATCATGGCTCACCGCAGCCTCAACCTCTTGGGCTCAGATGATCCTCCCACCTCAGCCTCTCAAGTAGCTGGGACTACAGGCATGAGCCACAATCCCCAGCTAAGTTTTTTTTTTTTCAAGATGGAGTTTTGCTCTTGTTGCCCAGGCTTAAGTACAGTGGCATGATCTCAGCTCACTGCAAACTCCGCATCCTGGGTTCAAGCAATTCTCCTGCCTCAGCCTCCCGAGCAGCTGGAATTATAGGCACACACAATCATGCCTGGCTAATTTTTGTATTTTTAGTAGAGATGGGGTTTCACCATGTTGGCTAGGCTGGTCTCGAATTCCTGACTTCAGATGATCCACCGCCTCAGCCTCCCAAAATGCTGGGATTACAGGCATGAGCCACCGTACCCTGCCTAATTTTTGTATTTTTTTGTAGAGATGGGATTTTTCCATGTTGCCCAGGCTGGTCTCAAACACCTGTGCTCAAGTGATCTGCCTGCCTTGGCCTCCCAAAGTACTGGGATTACAGGTGTGAGCCTCCTTGCCTGGCCTCAAGATTTTAAAAAAAGAAAAAAAAAAACCCATGTAATTAAAAAATTCGTTAAGCTAAAAGACTAAACCAAAATTCTGGACCTTTTTGGAATGATACCCTAGCATGGCTATAACTAGTAAGAGAAATAAGAGTAATAAGAGAAATAACTTACTGATTTTATTTATTTATTTACTTTTTTGAGACAGGGTCTCACTCTGTCATGTTGGCTGGAGTGTGGTGGTACGATCATGGCTCACTGCAGCCTCAACCTCTTATAAAGACTGTTATAAGAAAAATAACAGTAATCGAAGCTAATATTTATTGAGGGCCAGCTATGTGCCAAGGCTATGGATAAAACTGAAGGTAGTAAAGTTGGGGGATTTAATGAGGTTCACGGAACCAGTAAATGATGGAGCCATAGTCACTAAGACCAATAATCCAAGACAGGGTTTGAATGCTCACAGTCCCTCAGTCTTTGATTATGACAACCTTCAGAACACAGGGATCCTGTCTACATGCTGCAGACTTACAGCATCAGCTCCAGAATCCAAGAGACATACATTTTCAGCTGTTAAGTTAAATGTTTCTACACACATCTCAGCTAATTTCACCTTATTTCCAAGAGCAAGCTACATCTTATTAAAAACAGGTGTTCCTACCGGAAGAAAGAGTCTCTGGGCAGCACAGGGTTTGAACAATTTCTTCCACTCGTGAGGGTTTCCAACAGAAAATGTGATGGAGTAGATTCTGTGCTCAAACTTCTTTGTATATGAGTCAGGCCACTGTCGTAACTGAAAAACATGCACAGCAAGGGAAGGGTGATTAGGCCCCAGGAAATATGGAAAACACCTGGAAAGCTTCTGGAGGATCAAATGGAAATTATTCAGGCAACTTACACAGAAAGTCTAACTTCATCACCACTATGAATGTTCACTAAATGAAAGAACATTTTCTCCTATTAAAATTGCTAGGATTTTAAAAAATAACATTCACAGTTAGCAACAGTGTTGAGAAACTGCAGAGGGGAGTATAGATTTGAACAAACTTCCAAAAGGGCAACCTGGAAACTGGTAAAAATGCACCCCAAAAGACAGACGTACGAGGTCACTCACCACAACCTAGTTTGTAATAACAAAACTTGAGAACTTAGCAGCTTGGAAGGAGAAGAAAAAACCCAGCAAACTTGGGAACAATCAAAATGTCCAATGATAAGGAATTGGGATAATTAATTATGATAGAACTATCTAATAGAATAATGTACAGTTAGAGAAACCAGGCATGGTGGCTCATCGCTGTAATCCCAGCACTTTGGGAAGCTGAGGTGGGTGGATCTCTTCTGGCCAGAAGTTCGAGACCAGACTTGCCAACACAGCAAAACCCCATACAAAAATTAGGCTGGTGTGGTGGCACATGCCTGTAGTCCCAGCTACTCGGGAGGCTGAGACATCAGAATTGCTTGAACCAGGGAGGTGGAAATTGCAGTTAGCCAAGATTGCACCACTGCACTCACTCCAGGCTGAGTGACAGAGGAAGACTGTGAGACTGTGTCTCAAATAATAATAATAATAATTCAATTAAAAAATAAAAATAGAATTATGTACATTTAGAATAAAGTAGATGTCTTTGTGTTATTTGTGGCAGGCTGGATTTGGCTCCCATAGTTTGTTGACCTCAGTTCTGTATCATTGCCACTAATGACTGCATTGTATTCTCTTATATAGATATGTACTGACATGGAAAATGGTTATAACACATAGTTGGGTTTTGGGTAAAGCAAAGTGCAAAAAAATTATAATATGGTTCTTTTTAAAAAAACTTCTTCACTACTGTCCTACAGGAAAAAATATATGTTTGAAGTCAGGTGTGGTGGCTCACATCTGTAATCTCAGCACTTTGGGAGTCTAGGCGGTTGGATCACTTGAGGTCAGGAATTCAAGACCAGCCTGGCCAACATGGCAAAACCCCATCTCTACTAAAAATGCAAAAGTCAGCTGGGCATGGTGGCAGGTGCCTATAATCCCAGCTACTCAGGAGGCTGAGGCAGGAGAATCACTTGAACCAGGAGGCGGATGTGGTGGTTGCAGTGAGCTGAGATGGCACTGCTTCATTCTAGTCTGGGGGACAGAGTGAGAACTCGACTCAAAAAACAACAACAACAAAAACAAAAACCTCCCATATATATGCATGTATATTTTATATGTAGAGAAAAATCTAGATGAATATGCACCAAATTAATAAAAGTGGGCACCTCTACAGCTGATGGTGGTGGTTTCATTTCCTCAGGCTATATTTCTATATTCTTTAGAATTTTTACAGTGAGTATATATTACTTTCTTGGCATATATTATTATTATTATTTTTTTGAGACAGAGTCTCACTCTGTTGCCACGCACCAGGCTGGAGTGCAGTGGCACAATCTCGGCTCACTGTATCCTCCACCTCCCGGGTTCAAGCAATTCTCTTGCCTCAGCCTCTCAAGTAGCTGGGACTACAGGTGCACACCACCACACCCAGCTAATTTTTGTATTTTTAGTAGAGACGGGTTTCATCATGTTGGCCAGGATGGTCCTGATCTCTTGACCTGGTGATCCGCCTGCCTCGGCCTCCCAAAGTGCTGGGATTACAGGCTTGAGCCACCGCACCCGGCTGGCATATATTAATTTTATAACAAAATTTTAAACATACACTTTTAGGTTTTAGAGCAGTTTAATGTTTACAGAAAAGTCAGCCAGGTGTTGGTGGCTCACGCCTGTAATCCTAACACTTTGGGAGGCCAACGCAGGAGGACTGCTTATGCCCAGGAATTTCAGACCAGCCACGGCAACATAGCAAGACCCTGCCTCTTAAAAATAAAAATAAAAACAAGTCCGGGAGTGGTGGCTCACGCCTGTAATCCCAGCACTTTGAGACGCCAAGGTGGCTGGATCACTTGAGGTCAGGAGTTTGCAACCACCCTGGCCAACATGGTGAAACCCTGTCTCTACTAAAAATACAAAAATTAGCCAGGCATGGTGGTGCACACCTGTAGTCCCAGGTACTTGGGAGGCTGAGGCAGAAGGATCACATCAACTCGGAAGGTGGAGGTTGCAGTGAGCCAAGATCGTGCCACTGCACTCCAGCCTGGGCAACAAAGATTCCCTCTCAAAAAAAAAAATAATAAAATAATAAATAAATAAAAACAAGAACGATGAAAACAAAGAAAAATTGATCAGAAAACAGATTTTCCAGATACCATCTCTCTTCCCCCTACCGTACAGTTTCTCCATTATTAACATCTTGCATTCATGTGGTATATTTCTTACAGTTGATAAGTCAATATCAATACACTATTACTAACCAAAGTCCACATTTACATTAGTGTTAATTCTTTCTGTTGTATACTCTTTTGATGGATTTTGGCAAATGCACATCATGTATCTATCATTGCAGTATCATACAGAATAGTGTCACTACCCTAAAAATCCTCTCTGCTCCCACTATTCAACATTCCTACCCTCTCCCACCTGAACTCTTAGCAATTTTTGATCTTTTTATAATCTCTTCATGTTACCTTTTCCAGAATGTGATATAGTTAGAATCACACAGTACCTTCCCTTTTCAGACTGGCTTCTTTCATTTAGCAATATGCATTTAGGTCTCCTACATGTCTTTTTGTGGCTCGAGAGCTCATTTTTAAAATCATTTAGTAATACTGTATTCTATGGTATGAATGTAGCACAGTTTATTTATCCATTCACCTACTGAAGGTTATCTGGGTTGCTTCCAGTTTTGTGAAATTGTGAATATAGCTGCTATAAACATCTGCGTACAGGTTTTCATGTGGACGTAAGTTTTCAACTCATTTGGGTAAATACTAAGGCATTCAATCCCTGGATTGTATGGTAAGCCTATATTCTGCTTTCTGAGACACTGTCAAACCATCTTCCAAAGTCACTGCATGATTTGGCATTCTCATCAGCAATGAATGCGAGTTCCTGTTGCTCCACATCCTCACCAGTATCTGGTGGTGTCAGCGTTCTAAGATTTTAGCCATCCAAATAGGTATGTAGTGGGATCTCATTGTTATCTTAAGTTACAATGCTCTAATCACATATAACATTGAACATCTTTTCATATGCTTGTTTGCCATCTGTGTATCTTCTTTTTTTTTTTTTGGAGACAGAGTCTCGCTCTGTTGCCCAAGCTGGAGTGCAACGGCATGATCTCAGCTCACTGCATTCTCTGCCTCCCAGGTTCAAGCAATTCTCATGCCTCAGCCTCTCAAGTAGCTGGGATTATAGGTGCACACCACTACATCCAGCTAATTTTTTGTATTTTTAGCAGAGACAGTGTTTCACCATGTTTCCCAGGCTGGTCTCAAACTCCTGAGCTCAGGCAGTCTGCCCGCCTTGGCCTCCCAAAGTACTAGGATTACAGGCATGAGCGACCGTGGCCGGCCCTTTTTAATTTTTTTGAGTTAATCCCTTCCCATTGCTACAACAATTCTAAGAATTATTCCTAAGGAAAAGTTTCAAAAGTGGACACTTGTTTATTTCAAGGTTGTCTGTTTTAGTGTTGTTTGTAGCAGTGAAAAATTGGAAACAATCTAAAGAAGAGAATGGTTAAGTAAGCTCCAGGGTCTGTCTATATAACAGACTGCAATGTAGTCATTAGTGACAATGTCATAGAACTGGGGTCAGCACATTATGGTAGTACTGGAGCCAAATCTAGCCTGCCACAAAGAGCACGCAAGCCAAGAATGGTTTGGCATTCTTAAATAGTTTTAAAAAGTCAAAACAAGAATAATATTTTGTGACAATTATATGAAATTCAAATCTCAGTGCCTACAAATAAAATTTTACCAGAACACAACCACACCCATTTGTTTATATACTGTTTATGGCTGCCTCTACACGAAATAGCACATTGAGTAGTTGGGATAGAGACCATACAGCCTGCAAAGCCTAAAATAGTTACTATCTGGTGTTTTCCAGGAAACAACATTGGTTAACTCATTTTAGAGGAAATGTGGTAATATAAGTGTCAGTGATATAAAAGAGATCCCATTTCTGATAGTGATATGAAAAGGAATGGAAAGAAGTATTACAAACATATACCAAAACTGTTGTCTCAGAGCATTAGTGCACTGAAGTTTTTTCCATTTATTACTTATGAATTTATTGGTTTTTACAATGTACATATATTGTGTATATAACCACAGTAACTTTTCTTTTTTCTTTTTCTTTTTTTCAGTCAGCATTTGTACTCAATTGTACTCTGTCACCCAGGCTGGAGTACAGTGGCACGATCATGCCACTGTAGCCTTGACCTCCCTGGGGTCAGGTGATCCTTCCACCTTAGCCTCCCAAGTAGCTGGATCACAGGTACACGCCATCGTGCCTGGTTAATTTTTCTATTTTTTTATTGAGACAAAGTTTTGCTCCATTGCCCAGGCTGGAATATAAACATTTTTTAAAAAATACATCATTGGAAATACTTTAAAATTCTGAATGAGGAGAGGAGTGACAAAGTATATGACATTTGATTTATGAAGGGCACTGACTAATGAGAACTCACATCAGGCATTACCTAGTATTTACCCAGTATAATTACACAGATCCATTAGAACTGACACTAGGCATAAACTCTCAGTATAACAGTACTGGCTGGTCAGAATAAACACTGGTACAAATGTTGGGCACAAATAACCAGTACAATTATACCACTGCACAACAGCCCCAAATCAGCCCTGGAAAAAGAACGGGAAATTCATATAGTCCACTGGTTCCCTTGGCTCTGACTGTTGGCATCC